AGTTTCCCTCCACGATGAAGCTGGCACGTGGCTCCGTAGTGCATCGTCTTACACGTGGTCAGGGCGAGAGCAGGTTGAGAGCTTTTTTTCTGTCTCACCCTGGTTTCAAGCCCCTAGTTTGGCATATAAATGGGAAGTGGATAAATATTGTTACAAGCACAGCAAGGAGGGAAGGGAGGATCTGCGTTCTCCTCCCATTTTACAGCGAGAGACAGCAAAGAAAAGAAAGAGCTAAGTCATTCAGGGACACATTCAGCTCACCAAAGCCACCATTTACCCCGCACATCTCATTTATTGTGTTTCCACAGTACAGGGGGACTTTTGTAAGGCAGGATAGTGTGTGGACAATTTGGAGTCTTTTCCCTGGTGCCTCCAGTAAAAGAAAGACTTGGATTTACACAGCCTCCCTTCTGTAAAGATCTCAGCATGCTTGCCCATCTGGTGTTCATCCCTGCGAAGTTAAGATGGGGTGTTATGCCAATGTCCCCGGCAGAGAAAGGGAAAGGGAGGCTATGTGGGCGTATTCCTGCTCACCACAAGGGGGAGCTGACGTGCCCTCCTAGTAACTTTTTTTCCAACGGACATTTCTGTCTACCTCCTAGGCTGCCAGGGCTGTTCTGTAGGTACCAGGATATTCATCTTCAAGCAACTCCAGCCAGGAAATGCCAAGTCTAGAAAGAGAGAAAGAGAAAAATAAATAAACAAGAGAATTGCCACACAGATAAGGGCAATGCAGCTAGAATTTCATCTAGGAGTCAGAGGTGAATGCAAAAGGAAGGGAGTTACTGGAGGGATTTAAAAGGTACAGCTTGCAGCAGGACAGCAGGGTCCCGACAGATGGCCTAGAGGAGGGCGCTGGAGTCAGTGAGCACGGGGTGTAAAGGGAAATCAGGACAGAGCGAGCAGCAGGGGGGCATGGGGGAGCTGCTGGGTGTAGACCTCCTGCGCTGGGCAGGGCACGTGGGGCAGGCAACCAAGGGCGAGAGGAATAGTTCCCAATAGATGTTTAGTGTGTGTGTGTGTCCAATTATGAGCAATGCCAAGTGCTTCAACAACAGACAGAGTGACAGTAGGTGTTGGCCCTACTGTCAGCAGAGGGCTACTCCAAAACCAACCCGAACCCACAACCATGGAGTCAACTCAAACTCACAGCAACTTTCCACGGGGTTTTCAAGGCTGTACATTTTTTCAGTTAAAAATTGTTTTAGCAGTTTTATTGACATCTAATTCACATATCATATGATTCCATGGTTTAAATATATTAAAGAGAGTGGTGTAATCATCACAATCCATTTTAGATCATTTTCCTCATCTTTGTATTCATTGGCTCCCCAGGTCCCCCCAACCTCTCCTGTCACAATCCTAAGAAACTACTTATCTAGTTACCGTCTCTATGGATTTACCTATTCTGTGTTTCATAGAAAGAAAATCATACAAATAAAATGCCCAACAACAACAAAATACAACGCAGAAAAACCTCAATGCAAAAGAAAGCAGAAAATAATAAACTAGAACAAATTAAGTGGAAACAAAGGAAAAGATGTTAAATTTTAGTCTAACTAATCTGCTTCATTTCACTTTCTGATATACTCTGAGGACAAGGTGATTGACATCCCTGGTCACTGGTCTGAGGGAATTCACTGGAGACGCTGCAAGTGGATTTGGGGCTTTCACTGTCATCCACAGCCTTCAGAAAACTGAGTGCTCAGATTTTAAGTTCTAATGCAATTCCATCCTCTGATCTTGGGTTTTATTATTTACAACCCTTAGGTCACACAAGCTGGCATGCTGCTTCTGTGTGGACTTAGCTGACTCCTCACTTAGATGGCTGTTTGTTTTAAGACAAGTCTTTAAGACCCAGATGCTATTCTTTGTGTGTGTGTGTGTGTGTATTGAAAGAGTTTACCTTTAGCATTAGTCAGCTGGTCGTAGTCAGCTGGTTTAGATGATCCCGATTTTGTTAGCAACTTCTAAAGCGTCATAGGAGCCAGTCTAACATATACCATCTCATTGTCAGTGCGAATCAAGGTGTTGACCTTGGCTCCGTCAATGTTATAGAGCTTCTTCACAGCCTGTTTGATCTGGTGCTTGTTGGCCTTGACATCCACAATGAACACAAGCGTGTTAACTTTGATCTTCTTCATGGCAGACTCTGTGGGTGGGGGCACTTGATGATAGCATAGTAGTCAAGCTTGTTTCTCCTGGGGTGCTCTTCCAGGGGTACTTGGGCTGCCTTTCTAGCCTCAAGGTCTAGGGCCTTTGGAAGGTGGATGCCCTGTGGATCTTCTTTTTGTGTATGTATGCCAGTGGACGTCTTTCATCACGGCAGCCTTGGCCTTGAACACCTTTGTTTTGGCTTTCATGTGGGGAGTGGCAGGGGCTTCCTTTTTTGCGTTTGGCACCCTCCTCATTAAAAGGACAGAGGCTATTCTTTTTTTTTAAAACATTTTATTAGGGGCTCATACAACTGTTATCACAATCCATACACACATCAGTTGTGTAAAGTGCATTTGTAC